AGGCCAGCAGCACTAAGAATACAGAGAATGTATCTGATCTTTTTTGCATTTAATCAAAGGAAAAGAGCAATGAGATATAATGACTTAGAGAAAGAAAGAAGAAACTTACAGAAGTTTGTTTAAAAAAAAAATCAGTTATCTCTCTGTCTCTCCAACCTCAGCTTTAGTTGAAAATATGTATGGAGTCCGTGTATAATACATGCCAAATAAATAACTAGACCTTCACTGTCCAATATGGTAGCCACTAAACACACGTTATTATCAAGCACTTGAAATGTGACTAGTTCAATTTGAAGACTTAGTAATAAAAAGGTAAAATATTTCATTTAATGTTTTCATATCCACATTGATCACACATTGTAATAATATATTTTCATGCTTAAAGAAAATAAAATTAATTTCATCTGTTTCTTTTTACTTTCTAAATGTGGCTATCATAATATTTAAAATTATGTACACGCCTTTCATTATATTTCTACTGGATAAAGTTGGAAAAGACAGTAAGTTCTACAAAGTATAAAGGATAAGAAGATACCAAAATATAATGAAAAAGGCTTCATGAAGATATCAAGACTTAAAGGAAGAAAAGGATTCAAAAGAGGAGAGGAAAGGGCATTTCCATGCTAGAAAAACCATGTTGTATACAAATATGAAAGACAGGGATCTCTCAGGCTCACCAGATGAGGAGATGCTATGAAAGAAGGTAATCTTCCTCATGTGATGTCAGAGAGTATACAGCCAGAACAAGTCATACTCCTGAAGACATATCTGACCCACACATCTACGGAGCCAGCAGAAATCAGGCAGACTAACTTCTGTAATAAGGCAGAAAGTTGTGAAATTTGCAACACATGGAAAGAACTTGGTGAGTTTTGTTCACTGTTGTATCTCCAATACCCAAAAGAGTGCCAGACATGTGACAGACAGCTAAAATAAACATTTGCTGAATGAATGAGTAAACGAACAAACGAACTACTACAAAAAAGGGTAGTGCTTTCCAGGAAACTCTAAGGCAGGAACACTGGGAGGAAGAGCAGTAAAGAGGGGAGAGAGTGTTATCAAAGGAAAGAACAGCCGTATTAGCACCTGCTAAAGCCTAATTAGGCTTATTTTGTGGTTCAAGGAGATGAAGTAAAAAGTTTACAGCATAAAACCAATCCCCCTCCTTATTTTGCATAATTTTGGATCTATCACCCAAAGAAGTGAACTATGCTATTGCCTTCATGCACTTTCTGTAACTGATTTTTACTAGTGTGCTATTTTTATATTCATGGTTATTATGATTTAAAATATTTTTATATGCCATAACAATATCAACTCATCTTTTATTAAGTGGTTGTGTTTGTGTTAGTGCTGAAAAACAGCTGAAAACAAGTTAGATGTATGCCTGTTTAGGAAAGAGCACTGATAATAACCACAGTTAATACTTTTTGAGAGCCACATATTTTTCTAAGTGATTAATATGCATTACCTTTTAATACCTAGCTTACAATAGCCCTATGAAAAAGGGATTCAAGACCAGCCTGGCCAACACAGTGAAACCTCATCTCTACTAAAAATACAAAAATTAGCCAGGCATGGTGACACATGCCTGTAATCCCAGCTGCTTGGGAGGCTGAGACAGGAGAATTGCTTGAATCCAGGAGGCAGAGGTTGCAGTGAGCCAAGATCACACCACTGCACTCCAGCCTGGGTGACAAGAGTGAGACTTCGTTTCAAAAAAAAAAAAAAAAAAAAAAAAAAAAGTACTATTATTATCCCCAGTCTAAAGATGAGAAAACAGCCTCAAAAAGTTGAGGTAACTTGCTCATAAATAATTGAATGAGGGCCTGGTACAGTGGCTCACTCCTAAAATCCCAGCACTTTGGGAGGCCAAGGCAGCAGGATCACCTGAGATCAGGAGTTCAAGGCCAGCCTGGCCAACATGACAAAACACTGTCTCTAGTACAGATATAAAAATTAGCCAGGCATGGTGGCAAGCACCTGTAATCCCAGCTACTTGGGAGACTGAGGCAGGAGAATCGCTTGAATCCAGGAGTCGGAGGTTGTGGTGAGCCGAGATTGCATTACTGCACTCCAGCCTGGGCTATACAGGGCAGGATTCCATCTCTAAATAAATAAATAAATAAATAATCAAGTGTGGATTTGAACACAGGCTGACTCCAGAGCCTTCCCTATTAACAACTATGTTCTAATGTGTTTCTAATGCTGAGAAAATAAAAAGCAACATTTTAAAAAATGGATAAGGATTTATGAATTCCAAGAACATATTCCTTTTACTTTACCTATATTCCTATAGGAAAATTAGTCTCTACTTACATACATTAAATGAATGAATGGAAAAGAGGGAAGGAATATTCTAGCTATTTGGAAACTAATTAAAATACAGTAGCACCTCCCCATCCTTGGGGAATATGCTCCAAGACCCCCAGTGAATGCCTAAAACTGCAGGTAGTACTGAGCCCTGTATATATTGTGCTTTTTCCTATACATACATACCTATAATAAAGTTTAATTTATAAATTAGGTACAGTAAGGGCATCAACAGTAATAGATAGATTATATGTTACAACAATATTCTGTAATAAAAGTTAATTGATTGTGTAGTCTCTCTCTGGAAATATCTAATTGTACTCTACTCACTATTCTAGTGATGCTATGAGATGATAAAATGTCTATGTGATGGGATAAAGTGATGGAGCAAGGTGATGTGAGATTTCATCACGCTACTTAGAAAAGTGCACAATTTAAAACTAATGAATTATTTCTACAATTTCTCATTTAATGGGACACTACTGTAAAGACTTTCAAAGGTTTTAAAGACTAGCAATGGTTGTTAAAGAATTTAAATGTAGGATTATATCTAAATAAATATATGATTTCAAGATAAAATGCAAATTATAATTATCAAAAAAAGAAGCTGAATAACATAAAATGATAATCTAAAAGTAATAAACCAGCTATAAATTCCCAGATTACACCAACTTTTGCTGGTAAAACTAGGAAATAAGAGAAAATGCTTGAAAGAAATTTAGTGATTTTCTCATGTTACAAAGACAGGAGCCAAAAAATATTGACAGCTGATGTAAATAATTAGAAAAATTCAAGTAGAAACTTTTTAAAAATTTTAAGAATATCAAAGTAAAACAATGAATTCCTTTCAAATTACTTAAGGAAGGCCAAGCAGCCTGGCTGATGCCAGTAATTCTAGAATTTGGGAGACCAACGCAGGAGGATTGCTTGAAAACAGGAGTTCAGGCTGCAATGAGCTATGATTGTGCCACTGGACTCCAGAATGGCAACAGAGTGAGACCCATCTCATTTAAAAAAAAAAAAAAACAAATGCTTCAAAAAGTTAAAGAAAATATATTTAAATTTGGAAAGAAATCAAAGAAAACATAAAGAAATCAGCAAGGAATCATTAAAAAATTACAGATTACCAGTTATACGATAAATATATTTTATTTTTATTAAGCTTACTCATTAGAAAGCTCCTTAGATATGATTTTCTTAAGTGTTTACAAGTGATACACTTAAGACAAAGATTTAGGAAGCTTAAGAGGAAAAGATAAAGATAAAAAAATAGAAATTACATCAAAGTAGAATCTCAGAGGTAAAATCACCACATAAGGAAAGAGGATCACTTTTTTTTTATGATCCCTAACACAACTCCTACAAATTCATGTACTAAGTAACTGTGCTAAAATATATATATAATAGTTTTCCACCACCGCCATTAGAGGGCAGCAGCCATGATTCTGTGCTACCCTATAGCTGTGGGCCTCAACAAGGTAACCAAGAACGTGAGGAAGCCCAGGCACAGCCACGGTGGGCACTTGACCAAACACACTTAAGTTCGTGCAGGACATGATCCCAGAGGTATGTGGCATGAAGTTACTGATGGTCTCCAAGGGCAGACGTGCGTGCCCTCAAGTTAATAAAGAAAAGGGTGGGAACAAACATCTGTGCAAAAAGGCAGGAGAAGCTGGGCAACGTTTTGGCCACCATGAGGAAAGCAGCTGTCAAGAAGGACGGAGCCCCCGCCATCTGCCCATAATAAAAACTTTGCAGAATAAAATAAATATAAAATAATAAAATTTAACTTAAAAATAAAGCAAAACAATAAAATATATAAAGTAAAAATTGTTGGTTGGGCGCAGTGACTCATGCCTGTAATCCCAGCACTTTGGGAAGCCAAGGCAGGTGGATCACAAGGTCAGGAGTTCAAGACCAGCCTGGCCAAGATGGTGAAACCCCATCTCTACTAAAAATATAAAAATTATGTGGGGGCCTGTAATCCCAGCTACTTGGCAGGCTGAGGCAGGGAATTGCTTGAACCCCGGAGGCAGAGGTTGCAGTGAGCCGTGATCGTGCCACTGCACTCCAGCCTGAGTGGCAGAGAGAGACTCCATCTCAAAAAAAAAAAAAAAAATTGATGAAAATGCAAAACAATACGGACATAAATACAGAAATGCAGGAAAACTTCTTTAGGCACTCATTAATAGGCAAAAATATGAAATTAAATAAAGGTCATCTAGGTCATCTCGTGTCAAATAATATAGGACTTATCTATAATAAGAGTTTGGACTTAAAAGCAAAAGTGAGAAAAAAAACCTTTTCAGAATATTCTTTTGTGTAGTTATGTGAAGGATGAAGGGTGGATGAAGGGACCAAAAACAGAAACACAGTCTTCCTGAATGAATGGCAATCAGAATTCCGCTGCCCAAAGTAGTCCAACAATTAAATGATTTCTAGGAAAAACTGTCTTAAGAAGGCTGGCTACCGTCTGGGTTTACAAAGTGCTTTCACATTCTTATCACTTTCAACACAACTACAAATAGGAAGGGACAGTAGCCTTTAGAAAAGAACAAAACAGAAACTCATGGAAGCAAGAAAGGTGCATGACTCAAAGAGGGAAATTCCTGTGCCATAAAAAAGTTACTCGTGTATAAAATGCTCTCTCTATATATACACCAATTTTGAATTTCCTTTCATGTTCAGCATTTCTACTCCAAGTAGAGTAGCAAACCTGAAGTAGCAGCAACAGCAGCAGCAGCAAAAAACAAACATGAGTGTGAAGGGCATGGCTATAGCCTTGGCTGTGATTTTCTGTGCCACAGTTGTTCAAGGTATGTAGTACTTTTTATTTCTCAACCTAAAAGTTCCTTTTCTAGTTTCAAATGTCTTTTCTTCCACTTTTATCCTGAAAGACATGATAAAGTTTTATTTAATCTCACAGATTAGAAGTTACTACAGCATTGGCAAAGAAATGGTGGACATGTTTAAGGTACTAGAGATGATTCTTCAAACTAGAAATGAAGAACTTCATGGAATTTTTTATTTGGCTACAATATCTGGCAAAAAGCCTTTAGGAACAGTTTTACATGTCTGTTAAGATTTTATACAGCAATACTGTTAACAAGCTTCCTTGGAAAATACTTGAGGATAAAATCAAGGGGCAAAAGAAGCTTCGTCTCCAATAAACTTCTTTCATGCTTCTAGCGTTTTAGTGATTCACTTACAGATTTAGAGAGAAAATCATCATCTTACTTAACCCTTTTCCCAGTAACAGTTGTGTCAAGTGCTATTTGACAAATTACTATCTTTATCCTTAATGAAAACTCTGCTCACATTCACCACCAGGATTATAAACCACACCATCTGTTGCAATCAGATGCATTACTAACTAATGCTGTGATCTATTCTAGGCTTCCCCATGTTCAAAAGAGGACGCTGTCTGTGCATAGGCTCTGGAGTAAAAGCAGTGAAAGTGGCAGATATTGAGAAAGCCTCCATAATTTACCCAAGTAACAACTGTGACAAAATAGAAGTGATGTAAGTGATGAACTTGCTGAAGATGACTGGTGCAGGCTGTTTTGTTCATGTATTTGCATCTAAACTTTAAGACTCTTTTATATGTTCTTTTAACAGTATTACCCTGAAAGAAAATAAAGGACAACGATGCCTAAATCCCAAATCGAAGCAAGGAAAGCTTATAATCAAAGTAAGTTACCAGATTATTCCCATGCTATAATCTGTTTTATCCAAGGCAGTCTTTTGAAAAAGAAAATAAAGTGGACAACTACAGAAAGATTCTGCTATTATCCTGTGTGAAATATTGTTAAGGGGTCCTTGGTTGTTAACAGCCTCTTTCTTACTACATGTGTTTAGATGTCATGAGGGAAAGCCCAAGAAAGTAAAATTCTTGTTTTCTTATTCCAGAAAGTTGAAAGAAAGAATTTTGAAAAATAACAAAACATATGAAGTATATCAAAACATACGAAGTCCTGGAAAAGAGGATTTGAAAACCTAGAGCAAGTTTAATTGTGATTACTGAAATGACAAGAATTCCGCAGAAGGAAACTGAGATTTTTCCATAGTTTTGTGACTATAAACTTTTATACTGTTATGTGAAGGATGGAAGGTGGGTGAAAGAACCAAAAACAGAAACACAGTCTTCCTAAATGAATGGCAATCAGAATTCTGCTGCCCAAAGTAGTCCAACAACTAAATCGATTTCTAGGAAAAGCTACCTTAAGAAGACTGGATACCATCTGGGTTTACAAAGTGCTTTCACATTCTTACTTGCTGTATTATACATTCATGCATTTCTAGGTTACAGAATCTTCTAGATTTGATGCTTATAACTATTCTGTTGTGATTATGAGAACATTTCTATCTCTAGAAGTCATCTGTCTGTATTGATCTTTATACGATATTACTATCTGTGGTTACAGTGGAGATACTGACATTATTACTGGAGTCAAGCCCTTATGAGTTAAATGCATCTATGTGTAGTAAAATATTCCTCAAATATTTTTTCATGCAAATTCACATTTCTTTCCCCAAATATCATGTAGCACATGAATATGTAGGGAAAAAGTTCTTATGCATCATTTGCTTTGTTTTATAACCAATTCATGAAATGTAATTCATAAAATGTACTATGAAAAAAGTATACGCAATAGTGGACATATTTTATAACCAAATTAGTAGCATTGGTCCTAATTTAATGTTTTTCAACTTATTTTCATTGAGATGTTTTGAAGTGATAGGTATATTTACTGTACATTTTGGTTTTATCTATCTGTATAAATGTTAGCAATATCTTGGACATATTTGAAATATAAAATTTTTTTCTACAAAAGAAAGATGTTGAAAAATAAACATACATATATATACATATATATGTATATATATATATATATATATACATATATATATACACACACACACACACATATATGGCAATCACCTTTACTTTTTGTGATTCTGTTTCTTAGAAAAATAATCTAATCAGTTTCTTCGGCCATGCCTATATAAATTTAGGTATACCTAAGACTAGCTTAAAGAATCAAAGTCATTTTTCTCTAATAAACTGCCACAACCTTTCTTGAAAAAAAACCCCAACTATATACTTTCCAGGACATTTGAGACTTCCTTGAACAATTTTGCCTTATATTTTAAAAAACATACAGCTATCTGTCATTATGCAAAACTGTTTAGAAATATATTTTAATGGGTGGGTGGGAAAGATAGTTGTATGTTTTGTTGGCTGGGTGGGCAGTCTTGATAGTCCAAACCCCCTTCTAACTTGGGGAAAATCCCTTATGTGAGGGTTGATGGGAGGCCAAAAGAGAGAAGATCCTCTCCTGTAGCCATAACAAGGACTCAGCCAAGCTGTTTGTACCCTAGATTTTGAACTCCAGCTGGCATCACAAAGATACTATTAGTTAAGAACATTATTTAAAGCCTGGCAGCAGCAGCAGCAACAATGAAAGGCTTACAGTAGTGGCTTCCCAACGTGCGTTCCTGTAGCATGACTCTGGCTAGTCCTTTCTATCACCTAGCTCCCTTAGGTCTTTGTCCATTTTCCAAGCCTTATTCTCCATTGTCCTGTGCATCCTTCAACCTCCAACTACATTCCTTTTCTCCTTAAAATAGCCAGAGCTGGTTTCTCTGCGTAACCAAAAGCTTTGACTGACAGCAGTACTCTTTATATAGGCACCCATATGTTTGAAAAATAAAAATATTTATTATAGGATTATAATCAGGTATAATCTATATTGTATTATTATACAGGTTATAGACATAATATAGACTTATAATAAATGTGTTATATAAATCTATATAAATCTGTATGTAGAGATTGGGACTTCCATATAAATTCCCTGGATAATTTTTTTGTTTTGTTCTGTTTGTTTTTTGAGACGGAGTTTCGCTTGTTGCCCAGGCTGGAGTGCAATGGCGCGATCTCGGCTCACCGCAACCTCTGCCTCCTGGGTTCAGGCAATTCTCCTGCCTCAGCCTCCTGAGTAGCTGGGATTACAGGCACGCGCCACCATGCCCAGCTAATTTTTTGTATTTTTAGTAGAGGCGGGGTTTCACCATGTTGACCAGGATGGTCTCGATCTCTTGACCTCGTGATCCACCCGCCTCGGCCTCCCAAAGTGCTGGGATTACAGGCTTGAGCCACTGCACCTGGCACCCTGGATAGTTTTAAGATCTGAATCTAATCTTTGACTACTTACAGTGATTTTTTTTTTTTTTAAATTCACATAGTTGGCTGGGTGTGGTGACTCACACCTTCTAATCCAAACACTTTGGGAAGCTGACACAGGTGAATGGCTTGAGCCTAGGAGTTTAAGACCAGCAATGGCAAAAACTAATCTCCACAAAAAATACAAAAATTAGCTGGGAAGGATCACTTGAGCTGGGGAGGTTGAGGCTTCAGTAAACCATGATCATACCATTGCACTCCAGCCTGGGCAAAAGCCAGTCTCAAAAAAAAAAAAAAAAAAAAAAAAAAAAAAAAAAAAAAAAAATTCAGAATTAAGCCTGCGTGATAAATTGGTATTTGTAAGAAGTTTATTAAATATTATAGGCCAGTACATTATTATTATTAAGAAGAAAACATACACCTAAAGTTCTTCATAGCAAAATAAATATATGAAATATTAACAATATATTTGAGCCAAGATCCTCCCTACCTTGGTACCTTTGTACATACTATTCTCTCTGCCCATTTCTTCACTAAGCTAATGCCTCCTAATTACTTAGGTCTCAGCTTAAATGATATTTTCTCCAAGAAGCCTTTGAAACCACCCCTTCAGCTTCAACTAGATTAGGTGCACTGTTTATTTCCATAACACACTCTACTTTTCCATCATACTACTTACTGCAATTGTAATTAATGGATTATTCCTGTGCCTAATATCTACTCGCTCATAAGTGTAAAAGAAAGTCATTGTAGTCCAGGCCAACAGGACAGTGTCTGGTACATATCAGACTCTACTGAATGGCAATATAAACTAAGGGAAAAGGAATTTACAGCAGAGGAATGACATGAGGGAATGTACAGCAGTAGGAAGTATAAAGTGATTTTTCGGAATCATAATTAGATTTGTTTGGTTGGAAGGATGAAAGACATGAAACATGTAGATAAACAACCTTGAATTTTGCTCTGTACAAAATGGGGATTCATTAAATGTCGGTGAAGAAGAGAGTGACCCTATCCAAGTCATTGTATATTCCGGGAATTGCATGAATGGTTGATTGAAAGTGGGAAAGATTGGGGAAGGAAAATCAGCTGGGATTTGCTGCAACAGTTGCAATAGTTCAGGTCTGTATTTCCAAAGCTTCAAGGCATTCTCATAACATCTTTACCAATTTTTTTTTAACATTTCTTTGTTTGATCTTCACTGTATTTTTACAAACTCTGTGTACCACTTTATTTTACATACATTTACATGAAAAGTAAACTTTCACTACTGTACATGTGAAATTGGTAATGCACGTCATGGAAATAAACTGTAATGATAAAACAAAATACAATGAAAAAATACTAATATTCTCCCTGATTGAATTAATCAGAGGGACTGAAGTTAAAGAGAGAATAATTCACCAATAATAAATGTCAATATCAATGCACATGGTAGTATCCCACGTTTTGGGAAATACTGGTGTGAAAAGCAATAGGGCTAGCTCTGCAATAAGTTAAACAGAATTATAGTAATTACATATTACTATGTAATCCAGCAATTCCATTTCTAGGTGCATACCCAAAAGAACTGAAACAACTCTTTAAACAAAAACTGTTACACCAATGCTCATAGCAGCATTATTCACAACAACCAGAAAGCAAAAACAACCCAAATATCCATCCACAAGTGAATGAATAAAACGTGGTATAAACACAATAGATTATTCAGCCATAAAAAGGAATGAGGTAGTGATACATGCTACATACAACATGGATGAACCTTAAAAATATGCTAAGTAGAAGAAGACAGACACAAGAGACCACATATTGTATGATTTCATTTTACATGAAATATCTAGAGTAGGCAAATCCATAAAAACAGAAAGCAAATTAGTTGACTGGGGTTTGGGCAAGGTGTTAATGAAGAGTAACTGCTTAATGAGTATGGGGTTTCTTGGTGATGAAAATGTTCTGAAACTAAATTATGGTGACGGCTTCACAGCACTGTGAATGTACTTAATTCTACTGAATTGTACTCTTTTAAATGGTTAAAATGCTAAATTTTTATGTTATTTGTATTTTACTATCATATAAACAAGAAATACTGGCCAGGCAGGGTGGCTCATGCCTGTAATCCCAGCACTTTGGGAGGCCGAGGCAGGCAGATCACCTGAGGTTGGGAGTACGAGACCAGCCTGACCAACATGGAGAAACCCCATCTCTACTAAAACTACAAAATCAGCTGGGCATGGTGGCGCTGCCTGTAATCCCAGCTGCTCGGGAGGCTGAGGCAGGAGAATCCTTAAACCCAGGGGGCGAAGGTTGCGGTGAGCCGAGATTGCACCATTGCACTACAGCCTGGGAAACAAGAACAAGACTGTGTCAAAAAATAAAAGAAGGGCTAACCTAAGTGGTACTGGGGCACTGGTGAGAGTAGAAATATAATGACAAGTACACTGTAAAAAGAGAATCAAGGCAGTGACAGATTGGATGTGAAAGCTGAAGCTGAGAAAAAGAAACAAGGAACATGTAAAGGATTTGAATCTAAATTTAAGGCAGAGAAGGAAAAAAAGCTGAACTTTTGAGGTTTGACAGAATAGTACTGTCACTAACAGAAACAGGGATATCAGGGGGAAGATGTGGTTTAGCAGAAGAAACTGCAGATTTGATTTTAAATACATGGAACTGAAGACTCAAAATTTCAGGACTGTTTACTCTAATTAGCCAACAAGAGCTTTCAAACAAATGGAGTAGTTCTGGATAATACTATTAGAAAAAGAAAGATTTTACTTGATTATTTTTGGCTACTGAGTACAGGACCTAATATGCCCACATGGAATTAATATGCCTCCACCTGCCTCAGCCTAACGAAGTGCTGGGATTACAGGTATGAGCCACACCCCACCTCTGAAAAGATTTTTATAGCCAACAATTATAAATCTTTATGATATGGTCAGCACATTCTATGCATTTTAAGTAGTACACACACACACAAATTCGTTGTTTTTTTTTTTTTTTGAGAAGGGATGAATGAGGCAATATTAGTTGCTTCGTCGTTTCTTGTCTACAAATTGTATTTACCAGACACAGGTAATGAAACTGAGCAAGTCTGAGATTATCACATAACACTGCAACCATAGTTTCACTTAAGTCCCTAAGAAGAACATGTTCTAAAATCCTGGCACCATAAATACAAAGTATTAATAGTTCCTTGGTGCTGCTCAATAAACTGCTACTAAATTGGAAATGCCCTAAAGTGAATTATAGACTTTATATAATAAATCCTGACTTAGTATTCTTCAAATTGTCAACAAAAAGAACTGTCAATAAGAGCCTG